TCAAGACCTGACACACACTTCATCATCCGACACACACTTCATCATACGACACATACTTCAAGACCTGACACACTCTTCAACACCCGACACACACTACAACACCTGACACACACTACATCATACGACACATACTTCAAGACCTGACACACTCTTCAACACCCGACACACACTACAACATCTGACACACTCTTCAACACCCGACACACACTACAACACCTGACACACACTTCATCATACGACACACACTACAACACCTGACACACACTTCATCATACGACACATACTTCAAGACCTGACACTCTTCAACACCCGACACACACTACAACACCTGACACACACTACATCATACGACACATACTTCAAGACCTGACACACCTTTCAACACCCGACACACACTATACAACACCTGACACACACTTCATCATACGACACACAGACTGTGACGTCCAAACAGAAGGTACACTCCATTACATAAAGCGTTCTATTTCTTGTTCATAATCACTATCTTATCAATGTTCTAAAGACAGGTGTCGGTTCAAGGGGCTCAAAACCAGTTTAGACCAGAAAAAACCCAACAAAGTACTAAAGTGAGTCAGCTGTTAGCATTGTTCCAATTCCCACAACTTTGAAACAGTGTGGGTGAATGAATGTTCTTTTATGCCGCACATTACAGCTACATCATGCCGCTAGGATATGATGGAGTCAGGCCTTGTATCACCAACACTTCTCAGGTCTGTATACACTACAGTCTCCATGGACTGGAGAGACGGTCCATACACACATGTGAAGTATTGACTACGCGGTTTAGTTACCAATCACTGTACAGAAATAACATTCTTAAAGATTAGAAAAAAAAGAAAATGTGAAAAAGAAAACAACAGTCGTCAGTGATTTCCAAGTTTTCATCCCATACATGTTGCACAGTATAGAATTTCAGTGGGAAATATTTTTTATAAAAACATTTTCTTTTTTAATCAAATGTCGTACAACACGATCGCTTGACACCGTCGTCTCCATATATAGTCGTTACAGTTGTTGACTGGAATAGATATCATTTTTTGTCCGACTTGACTGCGGAATGTTGTCACGCACTAATACTGGCATATTTCCACTGTAGGTATAAGATCTAATCGGGTTAGATACTAGACAGGGAAATACATTAGCCATTGTTAGTGATATCTGAAGCAGAACTGCCTCGCTCGGGTCAACAGCCTTGACTTACATTACCAAATGTTATATTTATCTATATAAGTAGTCGTGCCATTGAGATAAGTTTGGTTGGTTGGTTGTTTTACGCCACACTCAGCAATATTCCAGCTGTATGACGGCGGTCTGTAAATAATCGAATCTGGACCAGACAATCCAGTGATTGATATCATGAGCATCCATCCACGCAATTGGGATACGATGACATGCTTCAACCAAGTCACCAAATCTGACCACCTGATCCCGTTAGTCGCCTCTTACGACAAGCACGGGTTGCTGAATACCTATTCTACCAATCTTCACGGGTCCAAAGTAATGCATCTTAAATTATCCACATAGTAATAAATACACACTTCATATAGTGTACGCATGGTTTCCAAAAAGACGTCAAACACCATTTCACAAACTGTGTCCAGTGAAGGCCGAGTCGCAAAGACATATGGTCTCCAAGGACGCCGGTTCTCCGACAGACCTAAAGGACCCCAATAGACGCCGGGTACAGTAATACAACTAATGAATGGTCTCCATTTGTCATTTCTAAACTATGTAATGATCTGTTCCTAACTTTCTGTGCCAAAACAAGTACGTCTGGGGCGGCGGGGTAACCTTGTGGTTAAAGCGTTCGCTCGTCACGCCGAAGGCCCGGGTTCGATTCCCAACATTGGTACCATGTGTGAAGACCCTTTCGGGTATCCCCCGCCGTAACATTGCTGGAAAATTGCTAAAAGCGGCGTAAAACCAGACTCACTCACTGGGGCGGATGAGAAAACAGTCTTTAACAGTGGTCTTTAGGAGGTCCGAAATAAAACACCAGGCGCGTCTACAAGACGAAATACGGTATGCATAGGCAAAAGGTAAGAACTATATTTCACAAACGTCCCGCTTCTAAACGATTCTTTCATCGTACAGAGACATGATACATAGAACATACATTATTTTAAAACAATATTATTAGGTGGAGCCAGTTGGGTCTTTCTTGTATGTCTTCTGCCATAGGCTCTCGGTGGGTCATGATCAGGTGGATTAATTGACAGCTCAATTCCCAATGGAGATCAGTCGCCATGACCAGGATCCTGGCCATCTCGAGTGTCAGGTGTATTTTTCACATGTCCTGCTTAATGACCTTAACCTCTTGTCGACACCACGCACGCACGTTCACACACTGTCGATCTGCATGTCAGCACCCTTGCTGCACGGGCGGGCCTGCTTTCCCTTCACAACCCAAATACAACGCAGCGCTGTATACCCAACGTTCACACACTGTCAATCTGCATGTCAGCACCCTTGCTGCACGGGCGGGCCTGCTTTCCCTTCACAACCCAAATACAACGCAGCGCTGTATACCCAACGTTCACACACTGTCGATCTGCATGTCGGCACCCTAGCTGCACGGGCCTGCTTTCCCTTCACAACCCAAATACAACGCAGCGCTGTATACCCAACGTTCACACACTGTCAATCTGCATGTCGGCACCCTGGCTGCACGGGCCTGCTTTCCCTTCACAACCCAAATACAACGCAGCGCTGTATACCCAACGTTCACACACTGTCAATCTGCATGTCAGCACCCTTGCTGCACGGGCGGGCCTGCTTTCCCTTCACAACCCAAATACAACGCAGCGCTGTATACCCAACGTTCACACACTGTCAATCTGCATGTCAGCACCCTAGCTGCACGGGCGGGCCTGCTTTCCCTTCACAACCCAAAAAAAACGCAGCGCTGTATACCCAACGTTCACACACTGTCAATCTGCATGTCAGCACCCTTGCTGCACGGGCGGGCCTGCTTTCCCTTCACAACCCAAATACAACGCAGCGCTGTATACCCAACGTTCACACACTGTCAATCTGCATGTCGGCACCCTAGCTGCACGGGCGGGCCTGCTTTCCCTTCACAACCCAAATACAACGCAGCGCTGTATACCCAACGTTCACACACTGTCAATCTGCATGTCGGCACCCTAGCTGCACGGGCGGGCCTGCTTTCCCTTCACAACCCAAATACAACGCAGCGCTGTATACCCAACGTTCACACACTGTCAATCTGCATGTCAGCACCCTTGCTGCACGGGCGGGCCTGCTTTCCCTTCACAACCCAAATACAACGCAGCGCTGTATACCCAACGTTCACACACTGTCGATCTGCATGTCGGCACCCTAGCTGCACGGGCCTGCTTTCCCTTCACAACCCAAATACAACGCAGCGCTGTATACCCAACGTTCACACACTGTCAATCTGCATGTCAGCACCCTAGCTGCACGGGCGGGCCTGCTTTCCCTTCACAACCCAAATACAACGCAGCGCTGTATACCCAACGTTCACACACTGTCAATCTGCATGTCAGCACCCTTGCTGCACGGGCGGGCCTGCTTTCCCTTCACAACCCAAATACAACGCAGCGCTGTATACCCAACGTTCACACACTGTCAGTCTGCATGTCAGCACCCTAGCTGCACGGGCGGGCCTGCTTTCCCTTCACAACCCAAATACAACGCAGCGCTGTATACCCAACGTTCACACACTGTCAATCTGCATGTCGGCACCCTAGCTGGACGGGCGGGCCTGCTTTCCCTTCACAACCCAAATACAACGCAGCGCTGTATACCCAACGTTCACACACTGTCAATCTGCATGTCGGCACCCTTGCTGCACGGGCGGGCCTGCTTTCCCTTCACAACCCAAATACAACGCAGCGCTGTATACCCAACGTTCACACACTGTCAATCTGCATGTCAGCACCCTTGCTGCACGGGCGGGCCTGCTTTCCCTTCACAACCCAAATACAACGCAGCGCTGTATACCCAACGTTCACACACTGTCAATCTGCATGTCAGCACCCTAGCTGCACGGGCGGGCCTGCTTTCTCTTCACAACCCAAATACAACGCAGCGCTGTATACCCAACGTTCACACACTGTCAATCTGCATGTCAGCACCCTTGCTGCACGGGCGGGCCTGCTTTCCCTTCACAACCCAAATACAACGCAGCGCTGTATACCCAACGTTCACACACTGTCAATCTGCATGTCGGCGCTTTCCCTTCACAACCCAAATACAGTAAAAGAAACAGAGTCAAGGGATTTACCCTCACAGATATGCATATAGATTAATTATACTGCGATGGTTAAAACTAAAACTGATTTTTTTTAGATTAGTACAATTGTAAGGAATGTTCAGTACAAGGCAGACATAATGGTGTCTTGTAATCTGAAGTATTTAAAGTAAGTAACTCTGTCACGATTACGAAACCATACGTATCATCAAGGGCAAAATCATATTTACATAATAATCATAACGGCATAATTGATAATGATAATAAATACAAGTATAAACTTTGTGAGCTCCGTTCGCTGGAGGGCCAGACAGTAATTATCATTGAATGAGCGAATTCATCATTGTTGTCGACTGAAAATGTTCAGTTAACTCGGCTGTCGGCAATTGACATGCATCAACCCGATCCCGCTAGTCGCCTCGGAGCTTAGTCGCCTGTTACACCAGCTTGGGTTGCTGAAGACCTATTCTCTATTCCCAGATCATCATTGGTCTCAAAGCATGTAACAATATTTTGTACAAAAATATAAACAAAATTGTCTTCAGGAAAAAAACTCATGTCTTTGAAGTTAAAATGCTTGTGCAAACGCAATTTAAGCAATCTCATTAAAATCAGATCTTAGTTCTGGCTACCGCTAATTTGTTCAGGGGTAGCGAGTACAAAGATCTGATTTTAATTAGATTGCATTTAAAGAGACACGTTTGTTCCACTCAATTCGCTGTTCCTACTTTTCGAAGAACTGGGCAACCGGAAGTTGTGCTGAAAGCAAGCGGATTTGATCAGTATTGATAGGCCTAAAGCACACATATTTCACCTGTTTAAACATCATGTCTTTAGAAACTGTTCCTAAAGACATAAGAAACCTGAGGGCATGTTTACTGTGTGCTCTGGTGAAGGTAATACATCCATATTAGATCGGTCATATCAGTCTGTATCGATTTCTTTATCATTGTCCGGTTTTCGGTAGCCTTTGAAAATCGTGAAAATATGACTCTGGTCGGAGATAACCACAGTCAGATAATACGTCATTGGAAGTCGAATACCCCAAACGGCGTATTGTTGATACCCAGATCGGCGTATAATGTTATACCATGAAAGTTATGATCAGCTGATGGTCAACAGTGCTCATTTCTAGTAATCTTATAATCATAATCAGATGATGACACTTAGGCCTACATTGTTTGTCTTGTTCGTAAGCAAAATGTTTTATTTTTATTTCGTGAAATATTTGTCAGCACAAAGTGAACAAAACATCTTCCCATTATATTAACATAAGAATGTGTTTCCCAACTGATAAGCAACTGAAATAATGCAAGTTAGTTTTTTTTACGTTGGTTGATTTGGGTATGATTTGTTTGTTTGTTTGTTGTTTTACGCCACACTCAGCAATTTTCCAGCTATATGACAACGATCTGTAAGTAATCAAGTCTGGACCCAGGCAATCCAGTGATTAATGTCATGAGCATCACATTTTACAGCAAGCATGGGTTGATTTGGGTATGAGCATATAACCGGTTATATTGGTCTGTGGTATAAGATACTGTGCCTGATGTATACTACATCACTGATCACTTTACCTACTTTACCCAAGCCTGCTGTTATACGTCGCCAAAAACATCTGACATCAAACATACCATATTTCCTCTATTTGAAGCCTGGGTCTATTAGTTTTGCGTGAGAACCTCGTCTACAGGTTAGAGTTAATTTGTACTGGCCATCAGGAATTTGTACCAGCCCAGAGCTAGAGTTAAATTGTTACCCTGTTATACTGCCATGTACACGGGTTCTTTGAATATACTAAAAGTACCCACAGAGTATCAAAACTATCCCTGTACTCTTAAATGTACCCAGCAATTACTTCTTTGTGAGGCATTTTTCGACATTTCTTGTTCCTTTCCCAACTTTGGCAATACACTCCGTTTTATTGACTGTCCATAATCCATAGATCGTGCAAAACTGAAAGAAAATGATCTACATTTAGCTGGCGTTAGGCTGAGATGACAGAAGGCAGATGGTGGCCATATATATGGAGACGACGGTGTCACACGATCGTGTTGTACGACATTTGATTCAAAAAGAAAATGTATTTATAAAAATTATTTCCCACTGAAATTCTATTCTGTATGGGTACATTTAAGTGGGCTGTGGTCGTTGTGAGACTATGTGGGTTCTTTTTAGTGTACTCCAAAGTACCCTTGTACATATCAGTATAATTGGCTTGCCGAGGATTTTTGCCATTTAATCAACGAGTGTTGATATATTTGATATCAAAAGACACTCGGGTGAGATTTTATTTATCATCCAACATCATTCTTCCAACTTTTTCAATTTGTAGACGGTAATTAGCAGTGTCTTCAGTGTAAAGAGTACTGCTAACAGCTTCAGTAGCAGAGCCATTAGTGATGTCATTTGATTGTGACAGCATGGTATTAGGTAACCAGTGACGTCACAATGGTCTGCAAAGCATTGTGATGTAATTTCATTGCAGCGATATCTACCGTGTAGATATCGCTTAATCTAATCCAAGCGATATCTCCTGTGGGAGCCAGTTTTGGATGATAAACAACAAACCAACCAACCAACCCTTCTACTCTGGAAAGCTTACCTTATGATAATCTATAACAACACTAAAATCTACTGACAAAGATGCCAAGAGCCAAGCTCTGGCTGGTAGATTCAAAAGTATGTAGCACTTCTGTTTATTGTTTTGCATGCAGTATCAGTAATTGTAATTCTGGGCATAGTAGGTGGGATTATTGAATATTCAACAAGATCAAGTGCAATTTCTTCTTTTTGTGTTGGCAGACTCTGGACCAGTTTGCATATGATGGGTGTGACAACTGTGAAGAATATCTCCACATGAAGAACAACAGGGATGCTGTGTACGAGTGCACCAGCTCCAACTTTGACGGGTGAGTGCATAGTTTCATCTCAGATTCTAAAGTGTTGGGAAACAAGCATTCTTCGAATTAGCACTTTATAAAATTCTTATTTCTAAAATAAACTGATATTTCTATCTGTATATTCTCTCAGCCATTGTCATATAGCTGTTAAAATGCCTGTTTCAGCCCAAAATTTGGATATTGACCTCCTTTAATGCCCATAATTACTTTTATATATAGTAAAGAGACAAAAGCAGATTCAAAATATTTATAGGAGATTCCAACAGTTATGGAGAATACTACTTCAGGGTAATTTCCAGTCTATATTTAGTAAATAGTCAATACCGTAAATCAGAGCTATGGATAAGCTGCGTTTTTGCGTAAAATACCCCCCAAACTATTTAAAACCCAATTACTTTCAATGAACTTGCGTACAGAAATGCATGCATTAAATTGAAAAACTCAACTGTTTGAAAACAGCACACGTAAATACCCAATGAAGCTTTTTCAGCATGCGTACAATGGACCTTATTTCCGAAACACAATTACGAGCAAATTTCAAAGTCAAGCCTATATTTATGAACTGTTATATACATCTGAAACATTATGTCATTTTGTTTTAATCTCAAAATGCTTACACATTTTGGAAAACCCAATAAAGTGATGAATGGATGAAAAGTGTAATAACACAATTAAAATCGAAACCTTAGGGTAAAAGCTCAATTGCTCAAAAAGTTATCTGGAGCTCTGGTAAATTATGAGGCCTGACTTGGAGTCATTATGTGTTTGTATCAAATGGCACAAGACCGTTTCCAGGCCAATGAATAATTGAATGTGTCTGAATACTTTGCTTTACATAATACAAATCATTGTTCATTGCTGGATGTGATGTCAGTGAAATTACTGAAATACCATTAAGAGCTGACCGTCTCCATAGCCTCGTGATAGAGTTACTGCTTGGAGAGCGGAAGATCCGGGGTTCGATCCCCGGTCGCGTCATACCAATAAGCGCTAAAAGATGGTACTTGTTGTTACCCTGTCTGTTGCTCGGCATTTGGGGTCTAAAACAAGGACTGGTCGGCTCAGAGTCAGTATATGGGTCTGTGTGGGGTATTCATGTTAAACTGTGGCATGGTATCTCAGTGGGCTAGCACTATATACATCGGCATCAGTCCTGATTAGTACAAGCAGCCACACGCCCACGTACGCACAGACACACAAAGGTGCATGCACATCGCTATATAGTTCAAAGTGGCATTATACTCACTCACTCATTTCACTTGTTGCAGGTTGATAGCGATGATGAGCCCAGAGGACAGCTGGGTGTCCAAGTGGCAGAGGATTGGTAAGTACACCCGTCTCGGACACTTGTAGAAAATGTTAATCTAGCCCTGCTTGGACTCCATTTACCTTTTTATCTGGTATCCGAATACTAAGTCCGACTGTATAGATAGTACCATTAACTGCTGTCATATAGCTGGAATATTGCTGAGTGTGGCGTGAAACAACAAATAAGAAAGTACTATCAGAACAAACCTATGTTACTGTATTAAGCTCCCTTGTTGCAGTAAAAGCACCCTGAGGAATTTCTAGACCAATCTGTGTGTAATACTTATAAGTGCTGACCACAAGCCTAAATATTTACATGCCAGACCAGATTTTCATGTGTATATTCCGTAGATTGATGCTCATGATATCAATCATTGAATTGTCTGGTCCGGACTCGATTATTTACAGACTGTCGTCATATAGCTGGAATATCGTTGAGTGTGGCGTTAAACAACATAATGCTCAAGGAAACTTGCTGTGTAGTATGTTTCATTAAATGTCAAGAGTTTTTTTTTATTTGATTTAATGCCCTGTTTAGTACATATAAAAATACTTACGGTGGATAAAATCTCTTCTTATTTTGTGATTTAACATAGTCAAAGATCTTTACCGGACTGTGTCCATTTCAGCCCGGTTTGCCAAAGGCTGCTATGCAGTGTCTGTGACGGGGAAACTGCCCCCAGGCATCGTGCGGGAACTCAGGGGCAAGGGGATCATGTACCGCCCCAGGGACGTCAGCCAGTCATGACGACCAGTTGTGTGGACAGGTGTATTTACTGGACAAGATGGCCGCCACATGTGGGTGCTTGTGGCATCAGTTGATATGAACTGAGCTTAAAATACAAACACATTTGATCCTTGGTTGTTAATCCTGGTGAAGGAAAGGCTCGTTGTCCAGCAATACACACAGAAAAAGGCAGGATAACGACATGGACATAACAAGGAGTTTACATTTGGATGAGGAGCAATACTTTTCCCCCACTGCAGCCAGGTGGCATGTAATTTGTAAAATCCAAGCATGCTCAGACATGTAAAGGAAAAATGCAATTGAATGAATGCAGTCATTAATATGATGTTCAAATGATCTTTCAAAAAACAGAAGCATACAGGGCTTCCAGAAAATAAGATGGCACGGGCTCCTGCTTCCTATGGAAGACTTTTAGGGCCATTTGTTTCTTTCTTGTTTTCTTGAAATATGCTAAGTTAAAATTTCAAGATATTAAGTTGAAATTTTAAGATAATGATCTTGAAATTTCAAGATACTAACTTCATATTTCAACTTAGTATCTTGAAATTTCAACATAACATCTTGAAATGTCTACTTAGTATCTTGAAATTTCAAGAAAAAACAACAAAAACAAATGGCCCTAAAAGGTTTCCATAGGAAGCAGGAGCCTGCACCATTTTATTTTCTGGAAGCCAGATGAAATTGAAGAAGGTGACCCGGGACATATTACCACTAATTAAGTCATGCATTTGGGATTGTAATTTTATTTTGAGGAGGTGGGGAAAAGTACAAAAATGTGTGCATGTTTACATGAAAGGAAGTAGTGAAGCGTGTGAGGGTATATTTTACGGATGCTTCAGTGAATGTGTGCCGGATGAGTGTCGTGTGGAAGAATCCTGGAGAGTTGCGGCACCAGGGACATCACATTTGCCATCATTCATCCCATTATGTACATACAGTTCATGTAGAATACTTACAGCCTGGGAGTGCTGCTCTGGCTCTAAAATGTGAACTTGAGTTTCTCCCCACACTAAAAATCACAAGAAATAATTATATACATGCACATCAAAGGATTGAAATTACTTGATTTACTGACAAGATATTTTTTAGGTATCTCCTGTTTGGTGAACCCTATGTAGGTTGATGGACAGATGTTGGTATTCATCAAGATCCTGATTTGTCGACCCACCACATTTAATAGGGGACCAATCATTTGATATTTCTAGGGGCTGGGATTTGCCGCAGAATATAAAAAAAAAATGAAAATGCTTCAGACTGTTGAAAAAAATGATATTGCCTGCCACAAAAATTACATTGTTGCAAGGTGTTTTTCTTTAAAAAAACATAGTTCTAAAAAAATATATATCTGGTTTGGTAGCTGGTCTCATACGAAATCCTATGCCCCCTGAATAATATGAAATAGTCGGTCTCTAAGTTGTTACAGATAGGGGACACCAATACTAGTATTGTAATTGGTTGAAATCTTTTCAGGGGCTAAACTTTCATCAAACATGTTTGAATCTTGTTTCTAAAGGATGCTTTGCTTGTTTGCTATCACAAACCACTGAAATCATTCAACCTATGGTTTAAATACTAATGATATAAAGAACCCTGAAATTGATGTATATAGAGAATCTCACCCACGTGTCTTTTGATATCAAATATATCAACACACATTGATATAAGTGGAAAAACTCAAGGCTTGCCTCCTGTGGAACCAGTTTTGGATGATAATTTACAATATCACTCAAATAACTGACAACTGGCATTTTCTCTTCTTAATTGTTTAAAAAACAGATATATTGATTGAAGTAACTTATTATATAATGACTAGATGTTTCCCCAAATGTCTCAGCTGTGGTCTACTTCAAAAGTAATCAGTCCAGCCAAAGATTTCCTGTGTTAATATATATTCCAAAAACTCATGATTATATCCCTGAACTGTAAATGTTTGTAACAAGCCCCAAACATGCAAGGAAATGTTTGGCTGTCATTCATATGGACACATTCAATGATTTATTAAACAAAACCTGCTGTTGACAAAGTTCCATCTGTTGTAGTAGCTGGTCGGTGTTAATCTGTAATTTCATTTGTCAAAATAAATATTTTGAAATAAAATTTATTCGTTTCTATACTTTGAGGATATTTCTACTCTGTAGGCACAGAGGCCGGTGAAGATCCGGGGTAGAATAGGTCTTCAGCAACTCATGCTTGCTGTAAATGGTGACTATGCTTGTGGTAAGATAACGGCGGATCGAGTGGTCAGGCTCGCTGACTTGGTTGATGCATGTCATCGTATCCCAATTGGGTGGTTCGATGCTCAAGGTATTAATCACTGGATTGTCTGGTCCCGATTTGATTATTTACAGACCGCCGTCATATAGCTGGAATATTGCTGAGTGCACAACAAACAACCAACCAACCAACCAACTGTAGGCACAGTATTCCTGTTATATTTGGTGGAATTTCAACAAAGTGGTAAAGATTTTGTGGCCATGCCTGCTTCCCAATTTTAGTGGACCGCCTCCCTGGTCTAGTAGGTAGAGAGTGGGACTTGAGGGCGGAAGGTCAGTGGTTCGATCCCCTGGCTGCGTCATTCTAGAAGACGTTAAAATGTGGTACTTGTTGTTTAGAGATTGAATATTCAGATAAACCTGGCATCACCAATACGCGTGCATAAGGTAAGAGGGTGTTTGCTGTACATATGTGTAAAAATGTACAGGTCTCGGGTCCGTTTTTAGGACATTGTAAATGAAAACCTTGACACCGTTTCTTAATGTATGAAAAAAAACTAAAACTGTCTACTTGACTGCCGACATCTATAGTCAATCTCATTAAAATCAAATCTTAGTTCTCGCTATCGCTAAACAAAGATCTTTGTTTAGCGGCAGCGAGAACTTAGATCTGATTCTGATTTTAATGAGATGGCATCTATAGCCTACTGAGACACCATGCCAGCGTTTAATACAAATACCGAGCCGGACAGTCCTTGTTTTATCCCTTTTCAAGCTGAGCGCCAGGCAGGGTAGTCTGTCTTACAGACCCTGATACATATATATCAACTACAGCCCATGCAAGTCTATAATGTTTGGCAAGTCTAGGTTACTGCAGTATCAGGAAATGAAGAGAATCACTGGGCTCCCTTTTTATTAGATTTTTATTAAGATAACTGAACAACTGTTTTTTCTGTATGATATGTTCATTTCAGAGACTATATGTTAGTCTACAGGCAGGGTATAACAAGTACATCGTTTAACGTCTTTTGGTATGTCGACGTCGCGTTTGGAGTATCGAACCAGCGACCTTCCTCTCTCCTGTTAGATCGGCAATCCAATAGACTCGCAAGCTGAGACAGCCAAATCGACCCCTTCCTGGTTTTAGATTCGTAATTATATCCAGATTCTGGAGCTTATTCATGTGGAGGCCGGAGAAAAATTGGCATTGAACCTCAGCACATTCGTCGTCAGTACTTCTTGAATTTGTATGCACTAGCAGTCTAAGTTCCTCCACCACGAGGTTGTCGTCTGGTAAGTAGCGACACGTGTCTAATTTACAACTCGGGGTCACAGGTGGCCAGTCGACTTCGGAGCTGCAATTCGCCGTGCGGGGTTGGTTCCTTGGGCACGCCAGAAACCTATGATTGCGGGTTCGAATCCCGTTTCCCCGATTATGCTTCTAGGATTGTCAGCACAATACCCAAAGTGGTAAATGTCCGAGACACGATAAACTCATAAACTCTCATATGAGTTTGATTGATTTAAACAAAATGGCGGCGCCTAGTCAAGACGATCTGATCGATAATCAAAATCTATACTTCGAAAAAAAGAAGAAAAAAAGAAACGCAGAACGGATATTTTTGGCCATAAAAGCACCCACTGCATTAACAAAAGGGTCATGGAGCTGCAGGCACTGCACGTGAAGCAGCACTATGAACGGTATTAAAGTGCAGGGTTTTCGATTGTCTGGCATCTGCATCAATCGAAGGGTGACAGTTCAACAACATGCCATGATTGACAGAAGTGCAAAGAAACAACGTCATAGGGCCTCTTGCAGGCAGGGCCGCCTCCGTGGTCTTGTGGTAGAGCGTCCGCCCGGAGAGCGGAAGGTCCGGGGTTCTATCCCCGGCCGCGTCATACCAAAAGACGTTAAAAGATGGTACTTGTTGTTACCCTGTCTGGCGCTCGGCATTAAGGGGCTAAAACAAGGACTGGTCGGCTCGGAGTCAGTATACTGTGTCTGAGTAGGGTATTCATGTCCGGACCAGTACAAGCAGCCATGAACACACGTGCATGCACGTCGCTATATAAGTGCAATAATCTTGGACGCGACGTTAAACCCAATTTCACCTCACCTCACCTCTTGCAGGCAGGGGAATATCGATCATCTGTTGCCAGGGTTTTCAATGTAGCGCCAAGCACCATCACATGGCTATGGGATTGGTCTCATATGTTCTTATCGGTCAACACGTGATCAGCCAAGGCCGGTAACCACCCCGCTCAAGATAGCTACATCCGACTGCACCACCTACGTGAAAGGACGACCACAGCCACCTCAACCGCATCCCTAATGCCCGGACCGCGCAGAATCTCCGATCAGACCGTACGAAACCGTTTAAATCAGCAGGTCTACGAGCAAGACGTCATGTTCGACGCGTCATTTTGAGTCGACAACATCGTCAACAACAACAAAGTTTTGCTAATCCTGCAATCGACCGAAATCTGCACGGCAGTCGCCATGTTCTTTACGAAACGGATGTCTAGTTTGTTACGCGATTTTGATTGGACTGTACAATGACTCGTTAGTCCAGCCAAGTTCAGCAACGGTGGACATTTAATTATTATACTTCCTTGCCTTGGGAAGATGGTAAAAATCTTGTTTAGAGGGAAACAACACTCCAAGTTGGAAAGTCCTTGAAATATATCGGCTTTTTCGGGTTCAAATTTAGAAACATGAAAGGATTTGGAACATATCTGTTGACGCCAAGTTGGCGCGGAACACATACAAATCCTGCTATCGACCGAAATCTGGACGGCAGTTGAGGAACCGGATGTCAATTTCATTAGGCGATTTTGATTGGACTATGCACAGACTCGTTTGTCCAGCTATAATTCCAGCCTCGTTCGGCAAGGGTGGAACTGGACTTTTATAGTCAGTTAACTGCCTTGCCTTGGGAAGATGAGCAAACTTAGAATACCGACACTTTCATCGATGACTGGTCAGTGCATATGCCTTTTTAATTTTCTGTATTTAGATACTGTTTAGGGAGAGATCTCTATATGAATGTTATACATTTTGGTTATACTGTGTGTGAAATAAGAACGTTGCAACACAATGTATACGTTTTTGAAACAGCGACGTGATCACACTGCGGCACTGTTGTTTATTTGTTGTTTAACGCCACACTCAGCAATATTCCAGCTATATGACGGCGGTCTGTAAATAATCGGGTTTGGACCAGACCATCCAGTGCTTGACATCATGAGCATCGATCCGTGCATCAACCTGCATGAGCGGTATGCAGAGCCAGCTGACGGCCAGGCACCATGAGGGTTAAACTTTGACAGGATGGGACTATAAAACCGGTATACTCGTAACACGAACCACGCACGCGTGAATGCACGTTGCTGTATAAGTGCAATAACCGTAAACGTGTCGTTAAACCCCATTTCAATTATATCGGATAGATATTATCTTCAATCAAATCTTTGAGCCTAAATATTCTTTTGTAATGTTGTGGCATGCACAAAATGTAATTTTTGTGGCATGCAATTTCTTTTCTTTTTTTACAACAGTCTGAAGCATACTTATATTCTAGAATTGTCTCTTAATAAAGTCTCAGCAAATTTTAAGCTATGGCCTACCATTAGTATTTTCAGTATCATCTGATGCAAAAATAGTTGGATTTATTGTTTTAGTTACTATCAATATGAATGACTAAACAATATCAGTTATAATCCTCTTTCTACCATTGTAGGGACACGGGTGGCCGAATCGTCTAAGGCGCCGCGATTGGCTCTGCATAGTTGCGTCCCTTGGGCACGCCGGAAACCTGTGATTGTGGGTTCGAATCCCGGTTCGCCCCTATAATGTTTCTAGGTTTGTCAGCACCATACTTGGTTTCACTGAAGTGGTAAACGCCTAAGACCTGCATCACTCACTGTAACACCATTGTAACACAGGAGGGACACATATCCTATATGTGTCTGTAAATAGCCTAGTCTGGACCAGACAATCCAGTGATTGATATCATGAACATGATTGATATCATGAACATCATTTGGAAACGCGATGACATGCATCAATCAAGCCAGCGAGCTTGACCAGCCGATCCCGTTACAGCCGCCTCTTACGACAAGCATGGCCGGGTTGTTGAAGACCAATTCTAACCCGGATCTTCGCAGGTGACCATGATGTAACATAACAATTCATCCATAGTACTATATAGCAGAATGGACGCTTGTCCATTCGGATCAGTCCATATATGGAGCTCCTGTGACTGGGCCATAAAACTGACCTAAATAACACTTGGAGAGCCGGCCTTCATATACAGGACCATGTCACTAATAATAATGATAACGAACAAACTCTCAGACGAGGCCAAAGTCCTGTGATACAACATATTTTCGAGGTCAGTGGAACACGGCACTGACGCAAAATATATATTGCGGCCAGCATTACGGCTGTGCATTGAATTCCATTGCATTAAAATACTACAGTATTAAAATAATGCAGCCTTGATGCAAATTCTCCGACATGCTCATTTTGCTTCAACTTTGTTTGCTACCAACGTGGCTGTATCACAAATATCAAGACATGTGAAGATCCGGGGTAAAATAGGTCTTCAGCAACCCATGCTTGCCGTCAATGGCAACTATGCTAGTCGTAAGAGGCGACCAACAGGATCGCATGTCAGCGTATCCTAATTGAGTGGATCGATGTTCATGATGCCAATCACTGGATTGTCTGGTCCAGACTCGATTATTTACAGACCGCCGTGATATAGCTGGAATATTGCTGAGTGCGGCGCTAAACAGTAAACGATGTGCGTTGCACCACAAAGGCATGTAACGCAAAAATTAGCAGCAAGATATATCCGGTCACTAACGGGGTCAAAGTACTATGTAACGGGAACACCGAATCATTGCGCCGTGTAGAGGTTACTTTAGTTTTATGGCAGGTGTGTCGCCATTTTGGTTTATTGCAAATTAAGGCCACGTAGTTACAGAAACGAAACATACAAATCATGGAGATGACATGTTAATGCCACTATATTACAGCATTACGATATACTCCCAAATCATCTTTATGTAGCTACTTGCTGCAGCATCTGACTGTTTCTGGTAATTAACCCTTGATGTAATAATCCTATGTCGTTTTTTCTCTCAAGGACTCATTTTCCGAATGACAACGTGTATACAAAAAACGAACTATTATCCGGAACTCGCCATTAACAACATTTCACATTCCTAAAGAATCAAATTATTATTTTTTTTAAATTTGTTTATTTTCAATGAATGTTGAACACTGACATCTTAGATTACATGTAATATGGCTCAATTTCACACACTACACTTTTGATTGATGTTTGGATGCTTATGTTCACAGATCATATTTTGAATTGCTTTGTTCCATATTTTAAACTAATCCAGCCCCCCTTGGGTTTGTACGCAGTGCAACGAACAGGGGCTTGTAACGGAAAAATTAGCAGCAAGATATATACGGTCACTAACAGGGATCATGGTACAATATAAAAGTACGTATCCCAATTACTTACATCGAAGCTAATGATATCAATCCCTGGATTGTTTCACACAGACTCGATTATTTACAGATCACATATACATGGAATATTGCTGAGAGCGACGTTAAACAACAAACAAATAAAGAAACAAACACACAAACAAAGAGGAATAGGTAGGGTGATACCGGGTTTCCCTGTCTACAACCCCTTTCTAAAATGAAAAAATATGGAAGAACCCATTTTGTTTAACAGATGTTGATTTATTGGCAGTTAAAATCTTTCAATTTTTTCCAGTATTTGTTAAATTGTTTAGAGACAATGTCATAATCATTTTCAAAATCAATTTATAAAAGTAGGTCTGGCTTGTTTAATCTTCTAGTTTCAAAGATATCATCAAATTATTTATTTAAATATTTACATTTATACATCTTCCCGGCATGGTATCTAAGTGGGATCGCTTATATAAAACCGACATATAAAACATACACCGACAAATAAAACACACAGTGACACACACAAACACGTACGCACGCTGAACACCATTTCAACAGAATCGGCCTGGGGCAATCGACTCGAGTATTTGTATATTAGCTGTGACAGTGTAAATATCACACTGTCCCCCGAAGTCCGCCGCGATAGCCTGTGTCGTGGCTGTGGCCCTTGTTGGGAGTTTTTAAACGTGGAAAACCTGACAGCGTTAGCCGTTCCAACAGGTAGTGTCAATTAGCGTTGTATATGTTTGATTGATTTGTGTACGTGGTAGTGTCACAGGATTTGATTAAAAGGTTTGTCGCTGAAAACGCATCTCGCAACATGGCGCCATATAAGCTGTCCTGCGAGGATTGGAAAGACGCCGCCATGAAACTGAGGGACCGTCACAGAAGTATTATGGTAAGATATTGTCACTGGAGGAGTGTTCATTTTTCAAGAGGCTTTTCAGTCTCGGAACAATAATATGTTGTGTTATTAGGTATTTGGTGATGAGATAATGTATCTATCTGAAAATATTTAATACTTATGTCACTGGACTTAAATCACACGTTCCTTCACTTATTACGGTGTATGGTGTATTTATTTTGAAGGTGTACAGTGTATGTGGATTACAGGTTACGGATTAGGTATTATATGTGTATGTTGTGTTTGAGTTAGGGACCGACCATTTGATATAAATAAATTGAATAAATTCTTGAACAAAATATAATTATGCTTCATACTGTTGGAAAAAAAGGAAATTGCCTGCCACAAAAATAACAGTGCGAGGTGTTTTTCTTAAATAAAATCAGGATCTAATCTGGTTTTATGGTTGTAGCTGAAACATATCTAGTCTTGATACAGGTCACGGTATGTGCACATTACAGGTGTATGGCTTGCTCACAAAGCTGCTGAGGGGAAAGTGGGAAGGGTTCGAGATCTGGGCGGATAGCTGGCCTGAGTTCAAATCCCTCGTCGTTAAACCATCCGGCGAAAAACAGATGGTAAGATGTACTTGGAAGAAAGTGTCTCGTTCCGAGCACAGACATATGTTAGCCATGTCCTCGAATCTGTCATATTTAAATTTTATTCGAACTTCGAAAATTGTTTACCCATGAACAATCATGTTATTCGAACTGTACTTCGACATGGAATTAGAGGATCATTCTCGACAACTCTGTGTTTCCGTGTCTAGCGATTGAGTGGTGACGGATGGTTGAAATGGGAGAAAGTAAGGAGTTATTAACGATGAATCTTTATGTTCAGTACAGCGTCGTTCATCCGCCATTTTGCAGGATCCCTACACTGGGAAGTTTTACTTCGTAGACAGTGAAGACGTGGCGAGTATGACGTCACTCCTTGATGACCCGCGGATTATTACGTGGAATGATGACATCAATCTCTGTACGTATAACAAACATTCACGTACGAGTTCAGAGAAGTGTAACTCACATATATGCCCTTTCACTTACATACTGGCATTAAAATCATCTCCAAATTTTGTTTGCACAAATATATCTTCTGTTTAAAGCCAAATATATAAACGCTATACAATGAGACACAACCTCAATCACATAACACAGTTTGTACCAACAACACCAATTGAAACAAGTTGTGTGTTGAAACGGACCATTAGGTTTCGTCAAGTCTAGGCCTTGGCGTCGTGTTTATGTCAGAGTATCCTGCCAGAACTTTAAGGGAAGTAACTCTGTACGGCACCTCCAACTACCGGGGTACCTATGTATATCAGTTAGACAGTGGCGTGTTTCAAGTATGCAGACCCACCATTTTGTGTACACCACGTATTAAGGGCGAGGCTGAAGTTGAACACTGTCCAATCACAGCCACCACACACAGGTCAGAGTATCATCTAAAGGGGGCTGGCGGTAGTCAGTTTCTGTGTAGGTCTAGACTCTGTAATGGGGGAGTTGGATTGAGATGAGACACTGTTGTTGTGTAATAAGTAAGTCAAACGGTTAATGACTATACTAACAGGGCCAAATCACTCAGACCCAGTTCTTTATGCTAGCCCGGTGTGAACGTAGCCATATGTTTTTTACTGCATGACAATATATAACAAGAAAACATTGATGCAGAGCATCAAAGTTCCCCGCCATATGTGATGCCTCACAAACGCATAATTATGATGTTACTGAAAGGCATGAAGGAGCATAATTATATTAACCACAAATAACACAACGTTGTTGTGGAAAAAAATATTATTTATTTTGAGTATTGGGCAATACAGTATCAACTGTATTGTCCAATACTCAAAATACAAAAAATTTTTTTGCATAGGGTAGGTATATTTAAAAATAGTTTCTTGTTTAACGCCGCACTCAGCAGTATTGCAGCCATATGACGGCGGTCTGTAAATAATCCAGTCTGGACCAGATAATCCAGTGATTGACACCAAGAGCATCGAACTACGCAATTGGAATATGATGTTATGCATCGACCAAATCGGCGAGCCTGACTACCCAATCCTGTTCGTCGCCTCGTACGGCAAGCATGGGTTGCTGAAGACCTATTCTAACCTGGGTCTTTATTTAAAAAGTAGATCGAAGGAAATGGAAGCAATTTCTGGCACAAATGTAAACATGAGGAAATAGTATCAAAACTGCCAACAACATTGGCAGATGCACATACTCAAATAATAGATCACATTCTTTTTACACTTGGCATTTGGTTATAATAATGTAAATGAAAATACTAAGGGCTCCATATGGCAAAAAAGTCATACTAGATAAGGTCTTTTAGTCACAACCACAGATGCACATACTCAAAATATTATCACGTAGTTGGAGAACATTTCAATACCGGGACTAATCAATAACGGAGATTCCTCGTCTCTTGTTTTACGATTTTTGGTCAGTTTCTTTTTTTGTATTTCTTTCTTTCAAAGAATAGTAATTGTGATCATGATGAGTTGAGTTACTTGGTCTTTTTCTATGTACTGTTTTATATCCAGTGTCAGTAACTGTTGTGTAATGTGGTTTACTTGTAACAATGACTGGTTTGAGTTCATATGATGATGATTGATTGGTTTGTCGTTTAACGCCGCACTCAGCAATATCCCAGCAATATGACGGCGTTCTGTAAATAATCGAGTCTAGACCAGACAATCCAGTGCTTAATATCATGAGCATCGATCCACGCAATTGGGATCGATGCAATGCATCAACCAAAGCCTGACCACCCGATCCCGTTTGTCGCCTCTTACGACAAGCATAGTCGCCTGATATACTGTTAAGATGTAACATAACAATTCATCCATACTACTAAACAGAAGTAAAACCGCTTGTCCATTCGGATCAATCTGACCCAAACCATTCCGCTGATGAGAGTCAAATAATGCATACGAATCAAAATCCGTAAAAATTGCAATGGAGACATCATTAAAAGTTACCAAAAGTGACGGGGATATCAATATTGCTTGTTGAAATGATTCTATGAAATTTGTTTTCCCTGCTTCAATATTTGGAGCACCTGTGACGGAGCCATAAAACTGATCTGTTATGTAGACAATATCGCTTGAGGCTGTGGCTGCTGGGAGCTGATATGACCTAAATACCCCTCATAGCCTTCGGTGTTAACTATGTGACTGTAGGGAGCTGTGCCTTCATCCAACAGATTATCGAGGTCAGTGGCACACGGTACAGATTTGAGCCATGGGACACAAAATATATGAGTGACCAGAGCTACGGCTGTACATTGAATTCCATTAAACGGTTGAAAAATACTACAGCCTTGATGCAAATTCGCCGACACACTACTCCGATTTTGCTTTGACTTTGCTACCAAACGTTTCACATGTGGCTATGTGCGGTGCACTGATTAAAAAAACACACGGGGAACTGGGTTAATTCAAAATAAGAAATATAACTATTCCAAATATTTCCATTGAACATGAGCATCCAAACAATCAAAAGTGTGGTATGTAGAATGCGGAATTCAGCCATATTACATTTAAATTGAGATGTCGTCGTTGTTCATGAATAAGCATATTCAGAACATATTTTATATTATGCTGTTATTTACGATTTCCGGAGTACAGTTCTTCTTTTGTATACACCGTGAAAACCAGAAAATTAGTCCTTGAGGAAAAAAGGACATCGGATTACACATGAATGGTTTAATAATGTCAGCTAATGACCAGAAACGGTCAGATGCATCAATTAACTACTAGTATATAAAGACGATTTTGAAGTATCTCTTATTGCTTGAAAAGAATAGCATGAACATTCCACGCACTTGATTTGTATGTTTTGTTTCCGTAAATGCGTGGCTTGAAATTTCAATAAACCAACATGTCGACATACATGCTACAAAATTAACGTTTCCCGTATACTTCCCCGCCTTCAGGGCGGGAAGAATAAACGTTGTAATGTGTTGATAGGAAAAGGGATACAATGTTCGTCATTCTTTGTGTTTTTCGGTGTTAGTGGTTGGGTGCGTAGCCTAGTGGTTAATGTGTTCGTTCGTCACGCCGAAGACCCGGCTCGATTCCCCACATGCATGGGTACAATGTGTGAAGCCCATTTCTGGTGTCCCAAGCCGTGATATTGCTGGAATCTTACTAAAAGCGGCGTAAAACCATACTCACTTTCTTACGAAAAGAGGTATCATTACCGTCTGGAAGATCTGATGTTTATGAGATTGAAAACGTGGGAAGAATCTTATATATCTACAAAGAATAGTGTATTTGCTGTACTTTCACAGGCGTGTCCGACACAGTCTGGCCTCTGGTGGAACAGCGGGCCCGGGAGCGAGGCAACATCCGCTGGGTGGCAGATGCGCCGATATATACTGTATCACGTGACACATTAGTCGACATGTACGTCCTATGTTTTGTATAACACTATGACTGTATATATCACACTTATAACGGCTTGTTGTAGCTAAACGTCGTTGAACTCGGGTTTACCGTTGCTTAAACGTATTTATAATTCAACTGAACTCACTTCAATCGACTTTCTGTTCTTTCAAGTTTTTGTAGATCCTCTCGATGCAACTCTGTGTCCGTGTGTAACATCCGCCTTCTAATCTGACCAATTCTTTGTCCTTAGAGACATCCGTAGTCCACAAACGATAATTGTTTGCTATCAGCAGGGAGTCTCATCTGCCGGGCAAAAGAAAGTTTTTGTTTTTTGTTTAACGCCCATTCAGCAATAATCCAGCTGTATGATGGCTGTAAATAATCGAATCTGGACCAGACAAACCAGTGATTGATATCATGAGCATCGATATACGCAATTGGAAACGTGATGGCATGCATCAACCAAGTCAGCGAGCCTGACCACCCGCTCCCGTTAGACGCCTCTTACGAAAAGAAAGTATTGACGCATTATGATGGTGGCAAAAACGAAATAGATAAGAAATGTTTATTCGATGGTGATGTATTTAATACGGATACATTTTTGCGTTTTGGAACTTAATTGTGCAGTGTTTCGGCGAATGTTTTCAGCCTAGTAACGTTTTGATAACGTTTGTAATTTTTCGGTCAAATCCAGTTTTCAAGCCTATACTTTCTTTTGCCTGGTAGTTCATATGTGGTACATATACATTACCTGCTATCATGTTGAAGTATTCTATCCTGATCTAATTCTAGACATGATAAGGATAATCTCAGCGAAAATCTTATTTTTCACAGAAAACCACCTGATGGATTTCAAGAAGTGCCAATGAGTGCTGATGCCATCTCGCACGTGAGTGAAAACTGGACGTTCAAGGTGTCCGGTATTGACCAGTTTACGCAGCTGTTGGTCGAGAGGGAATATCCGACAGTTTGTTTCCGAGACCCGACAGGGGCATTGGCTGCGTACGCCGCGACTCAGTTCCACAACTTACTCGGAATGCTACATGTTCTTCCTGCATTCCGTGGAAAGAAGTTGGGCTCGGCTGCCATGAGTGTACTGGCTCGGAAAACCTTGGCGGAAGACGCCGTTGTCGGAGTGCTCGTGAGTGACAACAACGCTGTCTCCATCCACATGCATACGAAACTCGGGTTCAAAGCCGTACCGGGTAGTAAGGTGAATTGGTCTTTGTACACCTGTTCCGGTTAGGCTCACAGGGTTTTTTTCACCCAAATACTAGTACTTACTGTGGATATAAAGAAAGTCCTTTCTTGATTGTATTAAGGATTATGTTTCATCCTTGAGTCAGGGATTTGGTTTTCTTTTGCTGGACCGAGCAATATACCTCTTTTTGTACGGATTGTTATGGAGCGTTGGAATCCAGTACAAAAGAGGTGTGAACATGTCTTCAGGTTTTAGAGTCAAAAGTTGACAGTACTGATGCATAGATTTGACAGATTTCCTCAGGTTACATACTGGCCTTATATGTGGCATTACGAAAGAAATGGGCTTCACACATTGTACTCATGCCGGGAATCGAACCCGGGTCTTCGGCGTGACGAGCAAACGCTTTAACTGGGCTACCCGGCCGCCCCTCGCCGATACCAAGTTCTTTGATTAAACATTTAATGTAGTGATTCTTACATATAATGGTTCTGTTATTTGTACTCTCTTGAAAATCACATTGGTGAAAACGGTTGAGTAAACTAGAGAGATCATCTTTGGTCTTTAATATTACTTACTGAGTTTTTTCAGGATTATACAAATATTTGAAAACATCTTATAATTAATTTCAACGTTCCTGTGTAGCAGAGGTCGACTGTTACGTGTCCTCAAAATATAGGATGCTGGTGACACAAGGTTTACAACAATAATATAAATAATTCACTTTAGTTAAAAAAAACAATATCCGTTAATTCCAAGTTTATATAACTGACAACTGACTGTCCATTCGTGAAAATAATGGATCATTTTAACAATAGAGTAGCGTAAAAAATATGTTTAAAGTTAAGAGTCAACATCGTTAAAAAATGTAATCATTTTAGAAATTCAAAATATGAATATCTGTGTGTATTATTTCATATTTTTTGAAAATGTTCATATGCACATAGCACAAGTTGTCATGCTGGAATCAGTTTTGATTTGATTCCCTAATTTAAAGCTGGGGTACCAGAGATATACCAGTAACAAGGGTGATTAAAAATGTAAGTCTCTCCAACTGATGCATAGTCGTCATGGACCGAAGGATACCAGAGTGGCCGATACCACAGTGGGGCAGGATACGCTCACCTTTTGGCGAAGACCTGGTATCATCACTAAAACACTTTGTATTACTTCTGGACATGTCACTGTAAAGCTTCTCCCGGTAACATCCTCACAGCCAAATCTCTGTTCAAACATCTACAATTCATGTCTGTTGGTTGTTGTTGGTTTGTTGTTTAACGCCGCACTCAGCAATATTCCAGCGGTCTGTAAATAATCGAGTCTGGACCAGACATTCCAGTGATTGACATCATGAGCATCGATCCACGCAATTGGGATCGATGACATGCATCACCCAAGCCAGCGAGCTGACCACCCGATCCCGTTAGTCGCCTCTTACGACAAGCATAGTCGCCTTTTACGGCAAGCATGGGTTGCTGAAGATCTATTCTACCCCGGATCCTCACGGGTAATGCTTTGTTAGGGGATACTTTTGGTTTGTTTTACAGATTACGAAATTTTGGTCGGTAGGTCGAAAAATATTTTTCTTAAAATTCCAAAAGAAAAGACACTATGATTTAGAATTTGCAAACCTTTTAAAATAACGCTGCATAATATATAACTATAGTTTAAACCAAACGCATCAAACATGAAAAAACTCCCAACAAACATGCCAATATTATCACCTTAACAGAGAAGAGGTAGCAGCATGATACAGATGGGGGCTGCCCATGACCACGTGGCAACAACCTTGGGCTGTGTGCGCGTCACAATCACCAGAGTGATGACTGACTCGCTTCCACCTAAATGACAGTACTGTACAGGCGTAGGCGTGGTAGATCAGCCGTGACAAGGCCCAACGAGGACCACTACCTCAGGGACACATGTTTGGCTACAGGTTCTACTTCACCAAATCAGAACCAGTTTGTTCAACAAGCAGTGTTCGTAGCCTTCAGTGCAGATTGAACCATCTGGCAGCTGTGATTGGATGATTTTGTATAAGCTTTTTATGTTTTTAAAAGGTACATCCATTCAGAAATTAAAACTGATCATGTTTTTTCTATATTTAGAGCTCTCTTTTCAACATGATGTCTTATGCTGAATGTGACCACATATATTTTCAAGCACGTGACATTTGGTGCGAAACTGGGGGTGGTGTGTTTAGCTTCCTGTACTCGGAAAAGGAGCTGGCTGAGCTAGTCATTTTTTTTATTGTTGCTCTAAGGACAAACTGTGCACACACGTACAGGTAATAGCTGTTGAATGCTCAGTTATGTTTGAAATAAATATAACGTTACTATAGAAGTCTATGAGAAAACATTTGGTTGTGTGTAACCATCAGCGGCAACCATCATTGGTCGACCAGTCAGGACAGTGTCAAGGTGATTGAGGCTGCATGCTATTCCGGCGTATAAACAGTTCCGAGAAGTGGGTCTTAGAGGCCAACATCGTCGACCTCAGAGATTGAGACTGGCATGTCAATGGCAGAACAGGAACTGACAAAGAGTTACCTTTTCTGATAAGAATCGGTTCTGTCGTAACTGCGTTTTGAGCTTAAGGGGACCCTACAGCAGATACCTCAGCGTATTGCCGTTCACTGTCGTCATGGTGAGTAAAGCCATCAACAACTCACCTGGACGTCGGAGTTTCTCTAAGTCAAGGAGTGAGGGGTCATTCGGCAGTTACTCCTACTTATTCCACCGACATTCATGTCCTGGTCGGCTAAAACCGCACTCTCCTCTCCTAATGCTGACGGTATCATTTTAAAGTGTGAACGACTAATCAACCCCCCCCCCCCCCCAAAAAAAAAAAAAAAAAAAAAAAAAAATTATAAATAAAAAAATAAATAAAAAAAAATAAATAAATAAATAAATAAATAAATAAACAAAAAACATGGAAGAATTGCTCGTTTTGTCCGAGAATCCTGCCGGAAAACGTTAGCATGAGGAATTTAAATGTATTTGTAGACATTTGTCCAGTACGCGAGCAACTCTCGTTCCGCCTGCTTAATATATCCCTCTAGCGCGGCGACGGAATAACAATGTTGTGGGTAGGTACATACAACTCCCCTTGGAAGTAATAGGTCCGTATGCACGGAACTATCCCGATTCTGTATGCTGACAAGCGCCAAGGCCCATACTGGTCGGAGGAGGCCTCTGGATTCTAAAATTCAAAGAAATAAGTACATAAACATAAATACTAACTTGAAACTAAATATTATGTATCATCCATGTTTCATAAGAAAGGTTTCCATGGATTATGAAACCTAGTAAGTGTCCGACTGCATTTATCGCGAATCTTGACCCGCAAGTAGTAACCGACTGTATCTTACACAGTATGATAATAATTGTCACAAGTGGGCTTGTTTGTTAATACTCGAGTCTGGACCAGACAATCTAGTGATTGACATCAGAAGCATTGATCCACGTAATTGGGATACGATGACGTGCATCAACCAAGTCATCGAGCCTGACCCTGCACCCGATCCCGTTAGTCGCCTCTTACGACAAGCATGGGTTGCTGAAGACCTGTATTCTACCCCCATCCTCACGGGTCTTCACAAGTAGGTGACGGTCACCTCACGCTAGTAACCATGCGAGTAAGCAACATCTTATGATAGTAAAAGTCGGTATCAACATGTACCATCACAACATGTTTCACGGTCGTCCGTATATTTGTACAACATAACCATGAAGCATTTAATTCTCATGACTGTATTTCGATTCTCATCATTGTATTTCACGTCACATGACTGTATTTCGATTCTCATCATTGTATTTCACGTTATATGACTGTATTTCGATTCTCATCATTGTATTTCACATCACATGCCTGTATTTCGATTCTCATCATTGTATTTCACGTCACATGACTGTATTTCGATTCTCATCATTGTATTTAACGTCACATGACTGTATTTCGATTCTCATCATTGTATTTCACGTCACATGACTATTTGAATTCTCATCATTGTATTTCACGTCACATGACTGTATTTCGATTCTCATCATTGTATTTCACGTCACATGACTATTTGAATTCTCATCATTGTATTTCACGTCACATGACTGTATTTCGATTCTCATCATTGTATTTTACGTCACATAACCGTATTTGAATTCTCATCATTGTATTTCACGTCACATGACTGTATTTCGATTCTCATCATTGTATTTCACGTCACATGACTGTATTTCGATTCTCATCATTGTATTTCACGTCACATGACTGTATTTCGATTCTCATCATTGTATTTCACGTTATATGACTGTATTTCGATTCTCATCATTGTATTTCACGTTATATGACTGTATTTCGATTCTCATCATTTTATTTCACGTCACATGACTGTATTTCGATTCTCATCATTGTATTTCACGTTATATGACTGTATTTCGATTCTCATCATTGTATTTCACGTTATATGACTGTATTTCGATTCTCATCATTGTATTTCACGTCACATGACTGTATTTCGATTCTCATCATTGTATTTCACGTCACATGACTGTATTTCGATTCTCATCATTGTATTTCACGTCACATGACTGTATTTCGATTCTCATCATTGTATTTCACGTCACATGACTGTATTTCGATTCTCATCATTGTATTTCACGTTATATGACTGTATTTCGATTCTCATCATTGTATTTCACGTCACATTACTGTATTTCGATTCTCATCATTGTATTTCACGTCACATGACTGTATTTCGATTCTCATCATTGTATTTCACGTTATATGACTGTATTTCGATTCTCATCATTGTATTTCACGTTATATGACTGTATTTCGATTCTCATCATTGTATTTCACGTTATATGACTGTATTTCGATTCTCATCATTGTATTTCACGTCACATGACTATTTGAATTCTCATCATTGTATTTCACGTCACATGACTATTTGAATTCTCATCATTGTATTTCACGTCACATGACTGTATTTCGATTCTCATCATTGTATTTCACGTCACATGATTGTATTTCGATTCTCATCATTGTATTTCACGTCACATGACTGTATTTCGATTCTCATCATTGTATTTCACGTCACATTACTGTATTTCGATTCTCATCATTGTATTTCACGTCACATGCCTGTATTTCGATTCTCATCATTGTATTTCACGTTATATGACTGTATTTCGATTCTCATCATTGTATTTCACGTTATATGACTGTATTTCGATTCTCATCATTTTATTTCACGTCACATGACTGTATTTCGATTCTCATCATTGTATTTCACGTCACATGACTGTATTTCGATTCTCATCATTGTATTTCACGTCACATGACTGTATTTCGATTCTCATCATTGTATTTCACGTCACATGACTGTATTTCGATTCTCATCATTGTATTTCACGTCACATGACTGTATTTCGATTCTCATCATTGTATTACACGTTATATGACTGTATTTCG